TGTTGCTATGAGGTTTGGATTATTTTTCTCATATTAAGTCTGAAAGATTTGAATCCTTTTTGTCTTTTCAAGAAACATTGTAGTTAAAAAGTGGCACTGAAAGTGTGCATTACTGTGAAGCCTTCAATTTTTCTTATCAGTACTGTTATTCAGAACAGGTGCTTGCATTATTTTCAATTGAGAACAGCAGCTCTGCACCACTAACACTATCTTCCTCTCATGCAGATTTTTACTGTATTTTTCATGTTTTTTTAAAAAATTGCCTTTAATTATTGATTCTCCGGGGTTTTGTGTGTTTTGCTTTAAATTTGTAGTTTAAAGCTTCCAGCTGTTTTGAAACATTTTTCAAGACTGTAAGTTAAGAGAGTCCACCTTACTTTGGAACTTGAGAGCAAATTTGAGTATCAGCAGCTTTGTTTCAAACTGGTGTATTTCTGTTTTAAGCTGAGTAAAACAAAAAAACAAACCCAAAATGTAGCTGTATCCCTGAGCATACACTTGCTTGTAACTGAAAATACAGGAGGGGAGCTTGTAACTCTCACCATAACCTATGTTTCAATGACAACAGCAGTCTGAAAGCAGTTACAACTGCAGCTCACTTGTTCAGTGACTTAAATGGAGAAAACTGTGAAAATGAGCAATATCTCACTTGGGTAAAACACCTTAAAGCATCTGTAGTTTGTGATGTAATCCCACAAACAATGGGATGTTTAGCTGAAATGAGTGGCTTTATTTCCTTTTCAGGCCCTCTACACTTTACAGCAGTAAGTTAGAATTAGTAACCTGTCTCTATTCAGAGGCTGTTTATGATCAGAACTATTGGGTACTTATTTTTCAGGCTGAAGAATTTGAATTCCTGCAGACTAGTGCAAGAAGAGAATTTTTGAAAACTGTAAATATTGTAAATACATTGTTATTTCTGTATGTAGTGAAGAAAGGATCATTCTATTTAATTACTGTTTGTTCTTAAGAGAATATGTGATGTTCATATATTTGTATTTCCTCTAGAAGATTGAAAAGAAAACATAACCTAAGCATGTCTGTAACTGGTACAGCATTGTTGAGCTGTGACACTGGCGTGGTGTATTCTGCTGGCTGTTTAACTTGCTGTTGATTGTGTAAGTGGTGTTACAGATCTGCTTTGCATACACAAAACAAGTTTTGCCTTTTAAAATGCAGCAATGGGTGCAGCTGTGGCATTGGCTTGTTGGACTTTGAAGGCGGTCACCAGAACACACACTTATCAGTACCTGATACGCTTGTGCTATGGATTAGTACTTACTGGATATTTTTATCCAAGTTTGAATTTGTATAATAATTTTTAAGCTTTTTCTAGGCAGGCTGGGAGGTTCAAAATCTATGAGGCAATGTTTCAATCAATCAATCAGATGTTATTCTCAGTTATTTTCATGCTATTTAAATGCAAGCTGCTCTTAAATCTGACTTTTGTAATTAATGTTAAAAAAACTGACCAAACAAAAAACCCTACCACTACCTGGAACATGACTGAGAAAGATAACTAACTGGCCTAGCTGGACTGGACAAACCCAGTTAAAACTCCTGCTTAGTAAGATCTGTAGATATGGAGTAGGATACCCAGGGGTTTTGTAGGGAAATTCATTGGAATGCAATTGCTTCAGGCTAGGGAGAGGTGCCAGTTTCTCCAGCCTATTTCCATCATCTTCAATGAGGATCACTTGGGTGATTCAGTACTACCATAATTAGTTCTTGCTCTTTATAACTGAAATTGCTGGTTTGCAAAATATTTTTATTTATTATATAAAGTGAGAATGTAGCTGTTAGAGTCAAGTGGTGGTTTTACAATGGAGTAACTAATGGTACAAACAAAAAAATGTCGTTGTTACTAGCTCTGTGCTGCTTGCAAATATTCTATGCTGAAATTAGCAGAAAACCAAAAAGGTTTTCATTTTATTCTGTACAAACCTATCCAGCTGGTTTAGTGTGACCATTGCTGACTCTACTGCAGTACCCAAAATTTACAGTGGGCATCTATAAAATTAATATGTTTGTGCTCCAAACACTGGAGTTAATGCTTCCATTTTTTTGTTTGAGACCAAATTACTCCTGTACAACCAGTCAGTGAAACAAAGCCAGCTGGAGAGCTAAGCACTTCCACATATGAAATTGTACCAGCTGAAAACTTGAGAGATCTTCTCTTTTGTGTATGTTCCCTGTATTGTCTATAGCAGTCACTGCTTTTCTGTTGCTCTGTTCGTTTGGCATACTACAGTTCAATTGATTTAAAATGCCTATATTGGATAAAAGGGATTTGTACTGATGGTATGAATGGTTTGTTCTGATATGCCTGTGCTTCCTTGACCTGTCTGGAGAAAAGCACATTATAATGAGATGCTGTTTTACCAGTAAAATGACTTTCCACACTTGAATATATTTTGTAAGTTTTTGAAATTGTTTAAGACCTCTTGTAAGATTTATTTTAAAAGCTCAAGCAACCAACCAAAAAAAAAAAAAAACCGAGATAAAAAAACACCATAAAAAACCCCCGAACCTACTGGTTACTCTACCTTTTTTTATTATTATTATTATTATTAGAAATTTTCATAGCTTGTTCTTATGAGATTAAAAGTACAAGAAATAATTTGTGGCTTCCTTATCTTTACTACTTTTGTTGTAGGTCTGAGTTCTGATTGCTGCCAAGTGCTGCTGGGGCACTGCAGAACAGACTGGCAGCTCTCTGTCAGGGTAAAATGTCTGCAATCAACCTATGGCAAATGCCTTGCCTGGTTTTAGGATAGTTACTCTTTGCCTCACAGCTGCAGCACAGGGGAATTTACACTCTCTAGGACACGAATGAGAGGCTGCTGTCTGGTCAGGAAGATATGGGGAGTTTGGGCATAATAGGTGGTGTTCTTCACTTATGAGTCCTACAATTCATGTCTCTCAAGTGAAGTTTTTGCTCAGATATGTTGCAGACATCTTCCATTTTCGTTGTTTAGAGGTGACCTACTGAAAGTACTGGTGGCTGGACATGGAAATAAAAAAAGTACAACAGACCATAGTTTTTACCACAGTTAGAAGGGCTGAATATCAGTGTAGAATCTCAAGAGAGCCAGAGTGTGATGGATATCACACAGGGCTAGGTTTTAGTTTGTTTTCCTATGGTATGTTTTTTGTTGGCATGAACAATTTTCTTGTCATCTTTCCTTTGAAAGTAAGGAATCTGCTTGCTAGTAAATGCTCAGAATGAGCTGCATGCAGGTTAAAACTGATCCAGACTGAGCTGTTGGAAGTTCAGCTTGGGTGGAGGTGTGGTGTTTGTTTGCAGAGATCCTGAAGAGGTCACTGTCAGATGCTGTGCATTTCCCCTCCTCACAGCAGTGTAGTTCTTGTGCTACTGCAAGTGTTCAGAGCTGAGATCCAGATTTTAAAAATAACAAGAAAAAAAAAAGGTCCCAAGGTGAGAGCTGTCCCATTACATAAGAAGCAGGCATGTTCTGGGATGAAGGTAAAGGCTTTGGGAAGTAATTTCCATAAGCTGTGTAGGGAGGTGAGGCAGGTGTTTTGTTTTGAACGTGGGGGCAGAGGGGCCCTGGTTTAATGCCCCTGATTAAATGCCATAGAAATGGGCTTATTGGGAGAGATTGTGTTTGCTTCTACTCAAAAGGCAGAAAGCAAAGTAGGGCAGGCAACTGTAGAGAACAGTGATCCATTCTTCATGTTCACTCCCTGGGGGAGCACAATAAGAAGCTGATTTTTATCTGGTAGGAAAAGTTTAGGTTCGTTGTTTAAAACAATTAAAAATTCTAGGAACAACTCCCAAGGCTGGAACAACATGTGGACAGAAGTAATGATTTCAATTCACCTGTTAGAAGTAGTGCAAAACTGTTTCAAATAGAGGCGTCTTTTGTGTTTTAAAAAAGTAAAACTTACACAACACCTTCTTGTTTTAGCATTTAAATTGATAGGAGGACATGTCTTGGAGTGATGGGCATTCCTGCTCAGGGTCTGGATGCTCAGAAATAACAGGGATGACACAGAGGTGATGGGCAAACTTCTGTACTTGAAGACATGTGAGGATAAGTGCAGAAATAAGCAGTGTGACCAACACGTAGTGACCTCTGGCATCTCTGGTAGTGCTCATCATTAACCAGCTTATTGGTGTTTCAAAATGGGAGAACAAGGGGAAAACTCGATGGTTTGTGGCTTATTTTTGGTTTCATTTTTTGTTTGTTTTGGTACTTTAGTTATGTTTTGGTCTAAAAGTGCAGGTGAAGCCTGTGAGGACCAGACTGCCCAGAGCTCTGTTTGTCTAAATTAATTAGCACTGGTCTAATGTCAAGGCTACACGCTTCCAACCAAAGACAATTTTGGATAAATTATCTGTGATAATCAGCTTCATTAGAACACTTTATCAATCTAGAATTTCATTTTTCATTTTGTTCAAAGCATGTCTCTCCCCAATAAAAGTGTAGCAAGATTCAACCTATTACAGCACCCAGTAGCAAAGCAATAGTGCAAACATTACCCTGTTTCTGTCAGAATTTATTCATATTAAATTATGTGAAAATGACAGGCTAAGTACAAATGTAATTTCATATAGTCAGCCCTGGTCCTCCATGGCTGATGTACTCCTATCATAAAGCAATCACTAATCTACTTGGCAGCAGCACTGAGTTAACTGGAAATGTGTTTTTTTAATCCAGGTAAGTTCACACAGAGTTTTACTCATGTCTGTTGTTTGCAATTCCTTGTAGCCAGTGACTGCAAGTTTTGCTGATTGCATTTTGTAGATGACCTTTATACCATCTTATACAAAAAACCCACCAGATGTGTTATTTTGGATCTTCAAGTGTGTAAGTTCTAGCCTTCAAAAAGGAAACTGCTTTACTGTCATGTAAATAGAGCTTAGTTTTCAGGTAGGCTCAGTATGAAGGCAAAGAAACCCCACCACAGACAAAAATAGCTAAGGTACAAACAAACAAAGCCAAGGTACAAACAAACAAAAACCCCAACAAAACCAAATGTATAATGAGAATTTATTTCTTGTTTTGCATGTAATTGCAGAACAACACTAATTTATTGTTAGAATACAAGTTATTTGAAACTATTGTTCTGAGATGTGGTAGATATGGTTGGGGTTTTTTTGTTTTTTCATTTTTTTTGCTAGTGAAAATGTGACCCACATTCTGAACTGATGTTCTGTTCCTTTTAGAGCCTGCCAGTGTGCTGGGAAGTGCAGTTCATGCTGGGGAGCTGGCAGGCAGCCCCTGCAGGTTATTCTCTGAGTGTTGTCAAGGGCACTGTGATTGCATGGGGTGGTTAAACACCACCTCACCTGCTCCTGAGGGAGTAACTCCTTCCTCTCCCTGTTCAGCCTTTTTATTTTTAACCCTTTCAAGGCACTTATGACATCTGCCTGTTACAGGCAGCATTCCTGTTGTGTCATGTGCAGGACCAGTCCCTGCCAGCCCCACCAAGGGGTCTGTGCCAAGGCTGTTCCTCAAAGGCTTTGCTGAACTGTCATTGACTCCGAGGCTCTGAAGATTTTCAGTGGCAGAAATCTTGGGCAACTAGGTCAGTATTTAGTAAAGAATTGGTTTTGAATCCCATGTTTCTCTTGAAATGCCAAATTACCAATTCAGTTTGAGCAAACTTAGACCCTGTTCTTTCTCCTTCCCTGGGGCCAGCTCTTTGTGCCTTTGTCAGGGTAACTGCACAGAGTTGCAGGTTAATCATCTAGTGGCATTTGCCATTCCTCCTCAGGGCAGCTAAACAACTCCAATCTTCCCTCACAGCTGAAGCTTTCTAGTGGCCCTGGTGTGGCAGTTACACTCTGCCTTTCTCTAGACACACCATGCCTTTTTAGGTAGAGGGCCTAAATATAATCTTACACCAGATATACCCAAACTGCATTTTATTGCTCTTTGAACTTGTTTCTTCAGTCTTCTAAGGACGATTTAAAAATTCTTAACCTGCTTTCTGAAGAACTTCCAGCATTCTGGAACCCTCAGTAGTACATTAACCTCTCTCTCAAATTTCAGCCCAGCACAAGATAAAAAGCATTTGTAACTATCACATAATGATTTTGAAATTATTTACTATCTCTTCATCTGCATCCTAGTTCTTTCTTTTTAATGCAAAAATTAAACATTCTTGCTCATTCTGTTTCTTCTCCACAAGCTCTGTCACAAAAAGGATTTAGAATTCATTAAAATGAAGGATAAAGTTCTTGCCCAACTCCCAAGGTATTTGCAAATAATCCCCCTATTTGAAGGCAGCCTGATGTAATCCTTCCCCTTCCTCAAAGGTGCTTGAAGAGCTGATGATGTAGCAAACTGCATTCTGCAGTACATTCACCTCTAGTTCATTCCTTACAAGAAAACCAGGCCTGGTTTTTCATTACCTGAAGTATGGACTCAATGCTGCTGCTTTGTGAGAGAGACTCAGTTTTAGACAGAATGTGAGGCACGGAATGGGAACAATATAAAGATCTTCCCAAAACACAAACTTGTTGAACCATTTAAGTTGTATTCCACTTTTGAAATGTTAACAATGTGTTATGTGTGTACATATATTTTGAAAATAGCAATCCTCAGTCAACCAAGACACAGAAGATAAAATACACTTCATATAAATACATTCATGGTTTAAAAAAAATAGTCTTAGAACCTGCTGACAGACTCAAGTGTAAGTATCTTTCTTACATGTATTTCACTTTTGTGATACTATTAGGCTGACTAAAGGCTACTGAATAGAGACCAGTTTTAAAACATGACTCCAGAACCAAGTAATTTTAAAAGTTGCTACTGATATGGGAAATATTCCCTGTTGTCAAAAAACAACCATGTGTATCTTAAAAAAAAAAAAATTTAGATAAGCTATTTCCTTGTTTCTTTTAGTGACTCTTGTAGTTCCATGCACAACTGGATACCAGCACCTTTGTATACCAGATTTCCTTTCTCTCTTTCTCTTGGGGTTCTTGGAAGGTCAGCTGGCAGTGTTCTGCACTAGCAGAAAAAGTTATGCATGGTGAAGTTTGAAGTTGGTCCACAGGAGAAGGGATGCTTTACTTCAGAAGCATAGAGCCATCATTTAATTTTGACAGAGTCTATTTTAACTGGAAAAGAAACATACATATACATGCAGGAAAAGAAAAACTTGTCCTGAAATTGCAAGCTCGTGTGTTCAAGAGAAGCAATGTACAAAATCTTTTACTTTCTGTACAGTGATGATACCAAATAATTTTTTTAACCATCATATACACAACACAAATGTTATGAATAGAAATCTATAAATACTTTCAAATGAATTTGCAATATAGAGCAGTTGAGGGCCACAGCTGTACAAAATGTAAGCAACATATATAAAATTATTAAGAAAGTGCAAAGTAGAACAGTATCAAGAGCCTCCATTTTACAGCACTTATGGTTCAAGTGTGAAGAGCTGAGAGGGATGCAGGAGTTCAGTTACAATTCAAAAGGAGACACAGTACAGGATTCGGCACACAAAATGGTGATCTATTATTAAATTATATCTTTCTCCTTCTTCACTTCTATGACTTCCAGTTAATAAGAAAACATTTTTATAATTAATTTCTGTAGAGTGATTTGTCCCTTTTTACAAGTTTCCAGGAAACAAACGTTCCCTGGCCACAGACTACTTTTCTGTAAGTAAAACAAGACCAGACAGGGAAACTCCTGTTGGTTTCTGGATGCCTTATCATGCTTACCACAGTTAAAAGGTGAACAGAAATACCTTCCATAAAGGAATGCAGACATTTAAAACCTGATCCTCTTAAGTTACATCCAGTACTCACATGTATGTGAAGGTCTAGAGAATCATTGCCCTGAAAACATCAACCACCTCTCAAAAAAACCCAACAAAACTCCTCTGAGTTTCAAGTCTGTTTAGAGACCACTGCCTATCAGTTTCACAGCTGTTTGCCAGTCCAGATGCAGGTTCTGCATTCAGGCACTGATTTCTCATCAGCACCCCCAGAGCTGTGCAAGTCTTTGTTTTCTTTTACACTCCGTGTCCAGTGGAAAGCTCTGCTTGAATTAAAATGCAGTGGCAATTAAAAACCTGTTTGGTGAGTTGGAAGTTGAAATAGTTAATTCAATGCTCTTGAGTGAAATTTCTTATAACTTGTTTTTAGAAAGCTTTTCAGTTCACCTTTATTTCAGTAAGTGTACTTTCTATTCTTTTGTAGGCACTGTAAATATTCAAGATATTGATGTGCAGAAGAGTCCATCCATTTTCAAGCAGTGCATTATTAGTAATCTCTAGCAAGTTCTTGACTACTGCTGTTGTCTTGGTTTTGTTTTTAAATAGAGAAGGGTAGACATTAGATACTCCTTTTCCCTTCTTGCTAGAGGGAAGTATCTTATTACAAGTGTCTTATTATGACAGAATAATCACCAAAATTACATTATTTTTCCCTCTTTGAGATATAGGCCAGACTTCAGCACAAGTTAAAGAGAAGTTGTAAGCAGTCTGAATGTGCTAGAGAAACAACAAAATTACCTGGTCACACTGCTTCGCATAATGATGTCTGTCTCAAAACTGGAGATGATCACACAAAACTCTATGAAGACCATCAGTGTCTAATCTGCTAACAATTAAGAATTTGGAGTCTAAGATATTCTCTGTTTTACTTGATAGAGATTATAGAAACAGTTGTCCATTTGGTGGGGTTTTTTTGAACGTGTGATATCTACAGTACACACAGACATCCAAAACTGAGGCATGAGAAGGAACCAGCTGCCAGGGCAGCAGAGCTGTTATTTGCCTCCATACATTCTCTCAATGTCGTTGAGGTAATGGTTTTTCAGTTCTTTCCTTTTCAGCTTGAAAGCATCTGTTACCAGCCCAGTCTCAGGGGTCCAGGGCTCAGGGCTTAACCGCACCTTGATGGGGATTTCAAACCTTTCTAATTTCACTGCAGGGACAAGAACAAAGAAAAGCACGACTGTGATTACAAAGCCAAATGAAATACTGATTCATGTTCCCTAAAAATCTGGTCAGCACCCTGTAGCTTGTATAATATGCTGTCCTAGTTCATGAAATAACCTTACAGAAGGACCACAGGCAAATTTCATCCTGTCCCAACATTGGGTGCTGGTTAGTGTGTAAATACTCTTATACACTCTGTGTATGACAATGCAAAATCTAAAGCCTGAAACAAATGACTGAGTAGCCCGAAGTTCTGAGACTACTACCACAAAAGCATACACTGAAATCTACAGCTGTACCTTCACTACAGGAATGGAATAACTAGTTAACTCAGACTAGCTGGGCATGCTTCATATTTCAATTATAATTAAGTACTTGTGCACTTTCCCTGGTTGAATGTTTCTTTCCTATATTTTTCATTCCTAAAAGTCTGTTTAGAGTACAAAACAAAGGGACTTCTTTGTATTTTTGTTACATTAGCCACTTACTTTCCCTTCAGCTGGAAGCAGTGGCTTGGCACATGCACAACCTCACTGCAACCAAGGCTGCTTCTCTCCTTGCACAGGTAATAGCCCAAGAGGGGGGAGCAAGGGAGGGGGAAGGAGGGAAGGGCAGGAGCAGCAGGAACAGCACAGGGAGCTGCTGCATGTGCCCAGTAACACTTGGAGTTTGCTACCAGCTCCTGCAGGTAGGCTGGGAATGGGATCCACAGCCATGGACTTGCAAGTGAATTCCAGCACAGCCTCTGGGGAGCAGCAGCTCCTCTGCCTTTCTAACTTCAACTGCTATCAGGATGTGCTGCTGCCTCTCACTCAGATGTGTGCCTGCTCACAATGAAGCTGCACCTGCTCTGCTAAGAATGTAGAACTACCTCTTAAAATTAATTTTGAAAAAAGTTTCACATAAATTAGTTGTATCTCAATAGTAGATTACTATCTAAAAGGCAGAAAGAATGTATAAGCAAACTGTTTAAGTACACAAAGCTATATGGATAGTAATTTGCCCAATTCCTGATAAAACCCCCCAGGATTAAAGTGTTTAAACCTAAGCCTTAACCATATGGGTTGATTTTCTTTTTCCCAAGGTAAGACTTAACAGTGCCTTTCATTCTTGTTTTCCCATTTTCAAAAGGCAGATTCTCCTCTCTGTTTGAAAGTGCTTAGAATGTGCTTAAGTGCAGCTTTTACTGCTTCCTTGTATGAAGTGCCAAATGCTTTAGAGACTTTCTTCCCCATTGAGTTAGTTCATTTTTTGTCTTGTAAAGGACTGATGACACTTTTGATCATTCAGTACCACAGCAAGGAGTAGCAAGCTTTTAAGCCTCTAAAACCACAAGGATCATGTCTGTTCAAAGCTGTAGGGAACAAAGTTGTGTGGGGAAAAAATGCTTTGAAATCTCTTGCTTAACCAGTTTTCTTGCCAGCAAATGCCTTGCAACCTTTCTTCCAATTAATGGCTCTTTTGGACCTTATTTTAACACATTAGACAAGAAACTTGTCTCCAGAATTTAGCTGGAAAAAACCTTCAGATATTTTGTAAAAAATACAATCAATACAACTAGATTTATGTCAATTCCTGGGATAATACACAACAATTTTGTGTGGTCTTTGCCTCAATAAACCATTAAGTTTTGGCAGATACAGAGAAACTGGAAGGAGGAGCAAATAAGCCCCCATGGCCAGCAGGCTGTGCTGTGGTACTTACTCTTGTTTGCCACTTCTTTAATCTCTTGCAGTATTTCTGCTTCCATTGTAGGATTGTTACAAATATCCACCCAGCTTCCACTGATGCCTTTCTGCTCAGCCAGTGCTGTCAGCTTCTTCTGGTTAGGGACCACAAAACTGATCACGTAGGACTGGTCACTACACAGAGTGGCAAGAGAAGGAAGGAAGAAAGGTTCAGTCAAGATTTCCATTTCAGGGAGTAAATTACCTGCTGCTGGACCCACAAATGCCCAAGTTATTCCACCATACAGAACCCTTCTTGTGCATTAAGTCTTCACAACTGAAGTCTTATCAAGAAGATATTCCAAGCTGGTTTACAACATTAGGTTTGATCAGAATGAGGCTTTGCTGTCATTCCACTCACACATGTCTCAGTTTAGCTCCCCAGCTAGACCTGGGGTTTAACCACTTCTCTGCAGTTCCTCCTCACATAGACAAAGAGGGGAATATATTTGAACTAATTTCCAAAACTCACTGGAAAGCTTTGGATCAGGTGCAAAGTGTCCAGATTAACTTTTCACTGGTATTCTGACAGCCAGAACACATGCCAAATGTAACAATACATAATGATATATACATTTTTAGGGAAGGGATGGGATGGAACAGAAGCCTATCAGGATAGGAGAAATGCCAGCAGAAAAACAAGTAATTTCTTTAGTTTTTAGGGAATCTGGAAAGCTGTGCTTCTTCAGACATGTTTGTAACTTGTACTCTGATGGAGAGGGTTATTAGAAGGAAACCATGGAAAACTAGAGTTGGATTAGACAAGTGGAACAGAGCCTGTACTTCATGTTTACTCTAAGTTAATACCACTCTTACCTTTTGGCATAAGCACAGATATTGTCAATCAATGGGCAGTTCTTCAGTGCTGCCTCAACTTTGCCCAGAGATACATATTCTCCTGCTTGTAGCTTTACCAAGTCCTTCTTACGATCTAGAATCAGGGGAAGGGAAAAAAAGAAAACTTTGCTTCCTTTAAACTTAAGCATTTCCACAGACTCACCTCCATACATACCACCTGCATATTTTGTGCTACACCAGATCTTAAAGGACAAGTTTTAAAGCAGCTAATAGCTGCCAAATAATAAAATTTCTGTAAAAAATGTTCTAGCACTACACTACTTGTCACACAGTTTGTAGGAAATTACTCTGATTCCAAACCTTAATCTTGTATTTATTCTTTAAAGTCCATGTGCTAAATTTAGATGATGATAATGTCACAGGAAATGGCATCACTTCCAAAATCTTACTACAGCTATGAGGACTTTTGGAAATGTGTTTTACACCGATTCTGTAAATAGGTAACCTTAAGTAGATTAGCCCAGGCAAAGCCAACAGTATTAATAACATGTTTGTAATTATGGTTAGTCAATACTTTGTAATATATTAAGGTATCAAAAATTGAGACCCACCTATGATCTGCAGACACCCATCTGGATGAAATTCCCCAATATCTCCTGTACAGAACCATCTCTGGCCATTCTCATCAACAGAAAACTCTTCTGTTGTCTTCTCTTCATTTTTAAAATATCCCATGGAGACGTTGGGTCCACCAATTATAATTTCTCCTCTAGGATTAGGCTTGTCTTTATTAGTATAGCCTCCTGAAAACAACACAGTCCCAAGCAATTAATTTAAACTTATATATACTTCTGCCAAGGCAATACTTTGAAATTTCAGTTTGAAGCTAAAGCACACTAACTGATGACTATTATCAAAGAAAGAACAATTTCTTCATATGCTACACCTAGCTAAGCAGATAGGCAAAGATACCAGGTAGGCAGAGGCTAAATGAATTAGTAAAATCAGAACAATTACTACTCTTACCTTCTTGCCAGTCTCTTAGTTTTATTTCACAACAAATAAGAGGAGCTCCAACTCTGCCAGTGCTATAATCAGCAACTTAGGGAGAAAACAAGAAAGAAAAACAAGATTTTTTGTTATTTAAAATATGAATAGGGTGTATCTTATCTCAAGTTACTTTACTGCAGAACTACAGCTGCAGTTTTGACTTGTTTTAAAAAAACTAAGAATGACCAAACACCCTACATATTTCTGAACTTATGTATTTCCACAGGTGTTTTAACTACCTTCTGTAATGGTTCCAGCTCCACATGTTTCTGTCAGTCCATAGCCTTGACCAACAGGACAGCAGAAACAGATGTTCATGAATCTTTGTGTTTGAGGCGAGAGTGGTGCTCCTCCAGAAAGCATCATTCGGACATTCCCTCCCAGCAGGGCCTTTACTTTTTTAAACAAAAGTCTTGAAAGAAGGCAAAAAGAATTAAAAATTATTCACTTAGCTCACTCTTAAGAAGACACAAACCTCCTTCCTTCTTTCCTATCTGGAACCCCTAAAAAAATAACTTTTTCCCAGAATTTAGTAGACAGCAGGGCTAATCCAAACCCATTACCTCTTGTGTAACACTTGAGGCAGAGTTCCTGTAACTTAAACATTCCAATTTTTTCACTTAAAAAAAAGCAGTGCAATGAAAATGAACCAGCCAGCTGTTTGGAAGATTAGTCATTACCATGAAATGTCTTAGCAGTTTCCAATAAGAACTTGGACTACCTCAGTTACTCATTAGGTGCTATTTGCATGTCAGACGAGAACCGTCTGACAGCTCAGAGGATCATTCTTTTAGACTGTCCTAACAGATCCCAAGGCAAAAGGCACCCTTGGCCCCTGAATGCTACTTACATGTTACACAGAGGTGCATCATATCCCCTCTTGATCTGCTCCAATTTGTAGTCATAGCCTATCTTGAACAGAGTTCTCTGGATATAGTTCATCTCTTGAACTTTACTCATGACATTTTTGTAAATTCTGTCCATTATTTCCTACAGTGTTAAAAAAAATAGGAAAATCACCACATGGGACAGACTAGCGTGTGTAAATCAAATCCCATGTCATAAGTAACCACCCCCTCATTATTCCTTCCTTTAAAATGGATAATAAGAGTGGAAATCTTTGCATCATGGGGGTAGTCAGTGCTTATGTGCAATGCTTTTAACATGTGATCGATAAGCCAATTTATAGACCACTGCAGCTTGGAGCTATTTATACCTGAACCTGTACTTAAACTGTGACAAACTGATTTAGAAAATTTAAAATTCAAGTTTAACTCAATCCCTTTGCTAAAGGTTGGTAAATTCCCCTCAAGGCGTGTCCTGCTTGGGAGCGCTGATGCTGTACTTTATCCACAGCAACTGTTAAGTGCAAGGGAATAAACTAAGAATTTATTGCACCATTTCCTTTTCCACGAGAGCTCTTCAACTTTCAGAGAAATGTGGTTGCAGTAATTCTAATTATCTGACAAACATCCACCACAATTCTGTCACAGACCAGGGATTAATTCCCATTAAAATAATAAGCTTATGGTCACCCTAATACACAGAACCTAAAACATTGTTCAGGCTGGTGAAGTATTTAATAGAAGTTTTCTTGCTGGACATATCTGCTTCTGCATACTTACAGGCACAGCTGCCATCAGTGTAGGCTTAAGTACAGTACAGTCTCCTTTGCTTCCCTTCTTAATTTTACTTGACTGTAATAAGGAAAATATGTCAGTTAATGAAGCAGAAAACAAAACAGTGCTTGAAAACTAAAGGGCTAATAAAAGGAGGAAATATATTAGCATATAATTTGTTTAAATATCTTCTCCTGTTCCTGTGTCGTTTTGCCCTCATTGTTAAGAAAAGGGTAATGATTAACATCTATTTCAACCAAAATACTCAATCTTTTACAGGTTAACTTTGTTTATCTTTCTTTTACTTCCTCCCTCTAGTACTTGCTTTCTCCTCCATCTTCCTTTGGGAGCTTGTTTTGCTTGATGCAAATCTCTCTACAAGCAAAACATACAGAGGTATCTATTCTGGCTTAATTTACTCTTATTTATCTGAATTGTTAAAGGGAAAAAGGCAAGAGACTAAACAGAAGATCTGCAATAAGTGGATAAAGAACTGATAAAGTGAGACCAAAACTTAAGATCACTTTAAACAGTTCAGCTGATCTATTAAGAGCTGTTCTTACCCTGTTATCCAGTGGATAACACTACAGGCAGTTATTAGGATTGCTTTTAGATTTCCTAAGTATGATAAAAGCAAAGTTTTAAATAAAATTTATATGGTACAACCTACTGCTGCTGTTCATCAAGAATGTTAATTTGCATCATTTTCTGAAAAAAATTTACATTTCTGAAGTGTACCATATATATCAGTATTTCTTTACTGAAGGAGGAAGCTGAGCAAGGAGAGAACAGGCTGCAAAAGCTGAAGTTTGCTCCCCACCTTGCTCTGCCAGCCCTCACCTGATCTGAGAGAGTGAGAGGAGAGGAGTAACCGATCCTGCAGCCGTAAGTGATGCAGGAAACTTCTGCTGTCAGTTCTAACACATGGGCCAGAGGCAAATAACCAATATAAGTGTCCTTGGGTCTGGAAAAGAAAAAATAATTAGCCATGAGTCACAAGTGGACTGAAAATACCATTTAACCATTTTGTTATGTGCTTAGTTATTATTTTTTGATTGACCTGGATCCCAGGTGAGCTTATTTTCCTGCACACAAGATGGGTGTGATTTCAGCCACAGTATATAAAGTGGGGAAATCTGCCCTTACTGAAATCAGTATAAATTATAGGATTTGCCTTGTTTTCTAAGAAACTCTGATTCCTTAGTCTGATTACTTAGTGAAGTATTAAAGCTCTTTCCTCTCCTTGTGGGAGGTTTCATTTCAGTTATGAAATAATTACACTTTAAAATAATGACCAATGACTTACAAAGCCCTGTCAGTCATCATCTTCTAGGATACATTACTAGAAATAAAGCTGCTTACTGAAGTACTAAGGCTGGTTTCAGAAAGTAATTGCTCAGAGATTTCTCAGCAAGAACCTTAGAGCTGTCACTGAACAGCAGCTTTCAGCACCAAGCCAGAACTGGGTTTATATCCTCTCACAACAGTTGTCTGGCAACAGGGCTTATTTCAGCTATTGAGCCTTTTGTGAATGCAGAGACAAATAGACACTTCCAGGAAAAACCTCCTCAAAACATTAATGTGAAGGAATCTGCACTTGGTTTTATTGTTGTGAGTGCATCATTTCTTACTTTTCTGCTCTTTCAGTGAGCTGTACTTGAGCAGATTCTGCAGCACGTGCACCCAGAGCGGTGTCTCCGGGTCACTGAAGTGTTGGGCTCTGACATGCTTACTAAACTGATCCTAGGTGCCTGAAGATGTCTAAAAACATTTCCCAAGTTGCACTAGAGGAGGAATCTCTTATCTAGTGGTATCCTCTGATACTCAAAATGTGCAAAAATCCATCATAGGCTTAGAGCTAACAATAATAAAAAAAGCAATACCATGTGAGGAAACAGCTAGAAGGGCGTCTTTTTCAAGCAAGGGAAATTCACACACACAAGACGTTATTATAGATTAAAAAGTAGTGGCCTCACAGTAACATGAAGAAACTTGTTAACACAATGCCAGCAGAGACTCTATAAATGCGACACTTTTGGAGGTTGTTTTATCTCTCTGTGCACAAGACAACAAAGTGTTTCTTACCCCAATCCAGGTATTCTCTCACACTGTCCTGTCATTCCAGCTATTAAGTTTTTATGCATCATCATCACTCCTTTGGGTCTCCCAGTAGAGCCACTGGTGTACATTACTAAAGCCAAATCTGTAGGAACAGGTCTGCTTGGCAGAATGCTTGCTACAAAATTCAGGAGAAAAGCTGTTATTTATTCTTATCTACTTTCTAAATTATTTCTGTAATTAATCAATGTGAAAATGTCTGTAATCAGTGTGAAACACGTCCTTCAAGGACGGCCAGCATAGCAAGCTGTTGCATAGTCAGTGCTGGAGAAAGTTGTCATCTAGTTCTATGAGGAAGAGAGGGAAGGCAAATTTTGAAAGGAATGATGAGTATTTGAGCATCTACACAATTTAGGTGACACTTTTGTCATTGTGGTTTATAGCTGACTGAAAGTTTCATAGAAGGAGCCTTCTGAAGACCAAATAAAACTGTCAAAAGCAGCAAAGGGAGAGAATACAGTGCTGATCATAAACAGCAAGTTGGGTGAAAAAAGCAAAAAAAGAACACTTCAAAAATCTGCAAGTCAGATTTTCTGTCCATCAGTCTTTCAAAGCCAAGGCTATACAGGTAAGATTCCTTTTAACTCCCCTCAAACCTCACCATTAAAAAAAAAAAAATAAATAAACCTTCCACAGGTAAGCTGCAGGTTTAGTAGAAAAGTGGTTAGCTTAAAACACTTGACTTCTGATTTTCGTTTTAGTCCTCTTTATTCTTAGGATGACAAGCACCAACTTCCATGGCTTTCACAAGGTCTGCAAGGAAGCAGGCTTTTCAGAGACTAAGCCCAAGAAAAAACACCCATAAGGGTCACTGCAGGTCTGTATCAGCACCTCAGGCTGATCAGAGATAAGCAGCTGTAATGAATGTGTGTTTCCCAAAGCTCCTTTGCCAGTTTATCTCCTTTATTCCAGAGAGAGACATGGTTAATTACAGACTGCTGATGTAAGAACAGATCATCAGGGTTGGGTTTTCCTTACTTAAAGATGTTTACAGTCACTCCTGGCTGCCCAATGGAGCAAGGAATGTAACTCTCATTCCTCTAGCCTTAAGTGCTTTTTCTCCTCTTTTCTAATAAAAAATAGTGACAGTAAGATAAATAAAAGATAAGAGTAGCAGAAAATGAAACATTAAACCAGTTTCTATTTCATTTCCTAAAACAAAGATGAAGTATTAAATAATTCTGGTTATGGTTTAGAAGCAAAAACAGTTTTATCCTGATATACGTGACACATGAAAAAAATAAAGGGTTTTGGCCAATTAAAAGGAAAGGGAAAAAGAAACGGCAAACTGCCAAGGCCCTTGGGGGGAAAAAAAGCCAACCCTTTCCGGGGGGGGTGGTTTTCTGCTACACATCCCTCTTAACCCAGGTGCTAACATTGCTTGATTAGTCAGTCCTCTGTGAAGTTATTCACTTACAGTTTTCTGGTTTAGCTCCCAGCTCTTCTACTGCCTGCATGCTATGAATCTCCACATTTTCAGGGTATTCTGATTTATTGACAGTCTTCTTGTCCACATAAATGATACGTTTCAGACAGGAGACTTGTGGCAGTGCAGTCTACAGAAGAGAAATGAAATGTTTAGTAGTGTACTGACTGAACTGTAGGGTTGCTTACAGCAGATGAAGGTAATACCAAATTAATTACCTTAAGTTTGCTCTCAAGGAGTTCCACACTCGTGACCAGATATGATGCTCCACACTCGTTGAGACCATAGGTCACTGCCTCTTCCCCCAGCGTGGCATAGAGAGTGACAACTGTCACAGGGATGGGAGAGGACATGAAAGAAGGGTAAAAGTAAAACTAAATGCAAAAGCTCTTGCTTTATCTTACTGAAAAGTACTCAATTGGGAATTTTCTAATTTGGAAATAAAACAGCTTTTGATTTTTCCACATCAAAAATTTTATGGCACAAGAGACTTCTGGAACAAGGACGACAGCTGGGCAAGAAGCATGTCCTTACCAAGAGCGTGGTCAATTACTGGAACATGGTTCCTAGAGAGATGGTTGATGCCCCAAGACTGTCACTGTTTAGGAGGCCTTTGAACAATGCTCTAGAATGTAACTTTTAGTCAGCCCTGAAGTGGTCAGGCAGTTGGAAGGAACCTATAACAGTCATCTACATCCTCCCGAAATAATTCTGCTTTTTCTATAGCAGAAATTATCAGAACAAACCTCAACAAACCAAACCTCAACAATAATGTACAAAGCAATCCCAGAGTAAGTAACTAAGAGCAGATGTTCTGCCCCTGAGCTCTCTGCAACCACAACTCAGGAGGAGAGGTAACACTCAGACAATACAGGGCACCAGCTTCAAGCTGGCACAGCTACAGGCAGCTCTTTGCACACTGTCAGCTACTTTCCTTGCTCCCATGGAATTAGTGATGGCAGCAAGACAGAGAATCAGGCTAAGGAATCAGACTGTTTTTCACACTGCCAGATTATTTTTAACCCAGACTGGCTAGAGGAATGCCATTAAGTGCCTCCCAGCCACAATAGAGTTCACCTCTCCCCATTCTCTCTCTACTGAAAAAAACCCTCCTTTAGTATCATTTGCTCAAACTGTAACCTCCAAAGACCATTAAAGGAATTTAACAGTGCTGTGAGATAGGGTTCACACAGCACAGGAAAAAGAGGAATGTTATACAGCTATTTCTTATTGCCTTTCAAAGTATAGGGATCCAGACCAAATTATCCATAGTCTCCTACTTCAGTAGCAAGTTCATCTCTTCCACTACTGCCCCTGAACAGGCTCTCTGCACACTCTACTGTATGATCTACTCCTCACACAGGCAGCTACTACTGCTGCTAAGAGAAAAAGAGACAGCAGAGTGCAAGCAAAAAAAAAGGGCTGTGGTTCACAGTGTGTTGTGTGCAAAATGGGCACTGGAGTGCACAGTAACCACTGCAGCTCACCAAGTTCCCATTAGAGATTTCTGACAGCTTGAATTAAAAAAAAAAAAAAAAAAAAAAAATAGGAACAGAAAACCCATACATAATTGTAATGAATTTGAGTAGTTTAAAAATGTCACCAAAACAGACTACCCACAGACTATCATATGATTTTGTTTACCATTCTTCTCTTCTGATAACTATTTCATCTTTTGGATGTATAATTTAGGATACAGACACAAAATACTATAAAAACATGCCACACTTTGTGGGGAGAAATGCAACTACTGACATCTTAAATGCAACTATTAACATCTTAAGAATATTTAAAACTACCTGAATAGTAAGTGGACTATTCTATCATTTTAACATTTAGAACGCAGTACAATAAAATAATTAAAAGCAGTTTCATAAGTATGGCAAGTTAATTTTAGGGACACCCACAATGCATACAATTGATTGAAAACTTCTAGGAATCAGACCATCAGCAGAGAAAGTTTGTGAAATTCTCACGTCTCCAATGACAAGACTGGCAGAGTCAAAGTACTTAACAGCCAGATCTGTGCTGAGAAATGGTTCTAGAATACATTAGAAGTAACCAAGTTGAGCACTCACGAGGGAAGTTGTACTTGAAGCAGGTGAGAGCTACAATCATCCACTCAGCTCGGGTTTCACAGAAGATGACCACTGTGCTTTTCGGGGTTAGTCCCAGGGCAGTCAGTCCATTCCCCAGGCGAGTAATTTTCTCGTTTACTTCTTCATAGGATAGCCATCTGTAAGTTCCTAGAATTAACTTGAGAGAAAAAAACAATGAATTTTCATGGCAAGAAGATTCTGGTATAGCTCTAGTGGCTGATGTGAGTTGGTGCATAACACCATGAGTACACAGTCTGCCATTCATTAAGAAATTGCTTTCATTTTACTTCAAGTAGAATAAACAGTGCATCCTGTATATTCTGTTATTCCTCACCTACCATAAAATGAATGATTTATTAGATGATGACTGAGGAAGAGCTCCAAAGGGACATGCGTTGTTGAAGCAAGTTACAAAGCAGCTCAAACCCAAGTCAGAATTAAGTAAAAAATTTAAAGTTTTACCTTCTTGAATACTTTTCCATTTGGTTGCATTTCATTTTCTTCACTCAGAATTTCCCTGGTTCCAAGACAGTCCTTCTTCCCAAACTTTGCTAAAGCATGGTCAAAGAGCTTGTCCAGTGTGTCTGCTCCAGGGATGTTTATGTTTGCTAGTGAGTCCAGGTGAGTGACAGAGCGGTAGGGGCTCCCTGGCTTGTCCGAGATGGGTTTAGCTTTTAACCGCTTTGCCATAGCCTTTTTCTTCTTGGCATTGGTAAGAAAATACCAGGGAATAAATACCAGCATACTGTACAACCAGATTAACAAGTACACAGGCAGCAAGAGAATGGCACACATTTCTAGCCTAAATTTCATTGTGGGTATTTAAAAGAGAAACTCTCTTATGGAGTTCTGAAGCAGACAAGAGCAAGGCAGCAGTGCAGAGTGGTGTAGGGAGAAGCAACAGTAGGTGAAGCTTAGGAAGTGCTGATTCAGAGCAGCTGCAAAATTTTAGTAACCTTTGAGAGCCAACAGTGGACACCTACGGGCGAAAACCAGTGCCAAGCAGAGAGCAGGAAAAAGAAAGAAAAAATAATTAAATTAGTAATATTATAGTTAATTAGTTTTAGTCCTTCTAAGAGCTCACTTCAAAAGCACCACTGCACAATAGAGCAGTGAACTGCTCTGGGGATGAAAGAAGATGAATCTTTTCCATACTTGTTTCTTGCATTCACAAATATTTACTCTTCACAGACTTTCCCCCACTATTTCTGTTTGAATAGTTCAGGGCTGTTGAGATGAAGTCTGTCCTTCACTACATAATATTGTTATTAAGCTACTTGAGTAATGATACAATTGCGTAATTAAGGGAAAGGTCAACACTTGTTTTCCCACTAAGTATTTCTACTACAGAGAAAAGGCACAGCAGATTGCTTTACTGTTTTTCAAAATATTCTGTCAACTTCTATTCAGATTAAAATGTATCTTGATATACTCAAAAATAGTATATAGGCTCAAAAGTCTACATGCTATAATCTAAAACTATATAAACTGTTTTTCAAAATATTCTATCAACTTCTATTCAGATTAAAATGTATCTTGATATACTCAAAAATAGTATATAGGCTCAAAAGTCTACATGCTATAATCTAAAACTATATAATATTCCAAAACTGCTGTATTATCTTAGCTCCAGCAACTGCATTTTTAATCTTCTACTTTTCAACTCTGAATGTCAGACTCTTGTAAAGGCATTATGCAGATTTGCCTTTCCAATTTCAAAAAATATTTCAATACGTGCATTTCAAACTCCAAGTATGGAAAACAGAATAAAATCTGACCAATTTAACTAAATTTAAAATAAAGTACAATTTGGCAAATTTTGTCTGCATGTCAGAAATCTTTCCTCATTAAGGAGAACTGGGCATAAATAAGGACTGGTGGTGAGTGGGAGAAAAACAAAACCATCACAGCAAACTCCAGTCATGGCCAGCCCACTGGCTAGGACAGTCTGCCCTGGCATGTGAGACAGGGATGGTTATCTTCACCTGGCTGCTGTGCAAAACAGCCTGCTAACACACCACCCACGCTGCCACAGAGGGGAAAGCAGAAGGCACAGGTGCACCAAGCCAGGGCAGAACCTCAGACAGCAGGAGCCAGTGACACTGACACCATCAGAGCCCAGGCTGTCACAGGCACCATCTGATAAACAGAATGGATGAGAATAGGCAAGTTCTCAGGGCTCCGTCAAGAGTTAAAAGAATGTAGGCACACCTCAAAATACACCTTTATTAATATATTTGCTACCCTCAGGTGATAAGGGAGGCTACAATTAACATTTTAGGTTAAATAAGACAACTGCTATTTATAGAAGACAGATGTCAGTTAACATGTTGGTGGGTTATTTAATGAGAATTTCAATATAAGCAGTTGTGTTGTAGCCAATATCAACAGCTTTAAGGTAATGTAAGACTCCGAGATCTGCAGATATTTAAAACAACATGACCACCATATTAATTTTGTAATTACAGCTACAGAACAAAATTACTGTTGAATGATAGTATAATAAACTAAGCTAAACTAAACTAAGCTCAGACTTGTATGGATGAAAGTATTCTGCATATTACTTTTTATAAAAAATGAATGCTACATTCTTTTCAAAATGTACATGTTCATTCTGCTCTGGTGAGCCTCACCATCAACCTCAGCATTAAAGAGATCAGTTTACTTCCCAAAGCTCCAGTTCTCTAAAATGAAGTACTATTGGTTTATAACACAAATCTTGTATGACACTTTCATCCCAGTTAATTCAGTGCTCCAAAAACAGCAGTTGAGTCCGTATTTCAAAGAGAAGCCAGCCATGGCTCTAAGACATGGTAAGGAAATGGCAGGACACACCCATGGTTACACATAATGCTACAACTTAAAATAGACCCCAGGGGGAACTCTGGCTGCTCCTCACCTTCCAGCAATGAACATATGACCAAGGCACACTGACTTGGATAAAAAGCAGAGTTGTTGGAGTACTGCAAAGCATTTAACACAATGAGACAGTACCACAGTTTTTCTTTGGGCTGCGTAGGAGCTTGTTCAGAAGCGGTGCTACTATGAAATACTGCCGGCTAATAACAAAGAACCAGCTAATTTAGGAAGGGAAGTGAGGAAGGTTCCATTGCTTTCATTTTGGAATTTCAGGTTAATTTGTAATACTTTAAAAAGTGTTTATAAAAACAGAAAACTCAGCTAATTTGTATACAGTTGGAGTAATTTAGAAGAAAATCACATTTCTATCCTGACAAAAATCAGTTGTGATTCTTAAAAGACATCAATTGGGAATACTTAGTGAGTCCCAAAAATACAACTGTGGTTTTTTCCTTAGAACATGCTCATGCAAAACCTCACACACACACAAAGGTGTACTTACAAGGGATCTCACAGTGATGACTGATATTTTTTCAGTGTGGATTAGATCTATAGTAAAACAGAAAAACATATTAGAATGTGGGAATCCTTGGAATTTTCACCCTACTGCCCCCTAAGAAGCACAGGCTATGAATTCAGACAGAGGTGTAACACAACCCATACAAGGGAGAGCAATTACAATACAGGAAAAGATTAAAACTTCCAAACTACACTGGACAGACAAGAGATGAAGCTGCCAAAAAGAAGCTTAACTTTTATGCGATACTACTTCCTCCCTTTCGTATTTAAACATGTTTTGAATAAAATTATGAATAGAAGCTTAAGGCAATTTAATTACCAATGAAACGCAGGAAGAGACTTTCATATTGCATACAGTCCATTCTTCTGACTCAAGGCAGAACAAGAAGCACTTTGTCACTATTGATAGATGAATATCAGTAGAAACACAAACTCAGGACTACTCATGGCACTTATTGCCCAAGAGAACATGAAGAGGATTTGGGGTATTGAGGTAAGAGAAGAGTTTCCAGAACAAAAGCATGTTTATAGAGGCACTGAGGCCTCACTGGTCTCATGACCAGTGTAATAAAAGATGGCTGTGTGTAACTGCAGACATAAAGCTCCAAGAGGTCTACCGCAGAAAGCTTTAACTGATGTTTAACCCAGTTATATTTTAAAAGCCTTCCCCCTAAGTCTAAGATTTTAATCAGTTTTTACAGACTGAAACAGAGTTAAATGTCCCTTGCAAAATTCTCCTACAAAGATTTTATTTTGAAATACAAAGAAGAGAATGTTTTTAGAATGCTTTTAGGGTTACTGGCATTTGCATGTGGCTGTATAAGATTTTGATCCATCGCAGGATAATCCCAAACTCATGCTAAATAAATATTTATCATCTCTTAAATATACCGCATATAACAGACTGACATATTCCATGCAAAGGTACCTCCACACCAGTTGTATTCAGTTAGAAGCCAAACTTAGCTACTCAAATTATACCTTATGCCTTCAATCTCCTACTTAATTAGACTTTAAGAGAAAGGATGAGATGCAATGCTCACGTCAATGCAACATCAAGGACACTTCAAGGTAAGGCAACTACATATTACTGAAGTATAACAGTAATGTTCTTCATAAATTTCCTCATTCCTTACAAATAAAATTTAGCATTCAAGAACAATTTCACAATAAGATAAAACTGGTATTTAACACTGGAATATTTAGAATAGGTAATATTTTCCATTGGTTTACATAGCTTATTCTTTCTCTTGACTGTTGAGCAGAACTAGCCTCTTGAGATGCTTATCTAGCTGTTTTGGAAACAGCAGAGCTTCCAGTTCTTGACACAGGAAACGCATGTTCCCAGAACGAGCAGTGTGCGTCAGGCATGACTACAAGAAAAAAAGAAACCAAACAAAAATGGATGTTGTTTCTATCTATGAGAACATAGATAGCTGGTTTTCTTAAGAATTTTCCTCTGGTGAATCAGCTTCTATCAATTTGGAAGTGGTCTGGAGTTCATTTAGCATTTGCAGCGACATGTTACAGTGTACATGCTGCAAACCTCACTCATGAGGTAATGTTTCACTTACGGCTTTTATACACTGGGTGTTTACAAAAATCCTACAGGCCAAGTTTACTCCTGACTGACACTGTACGTTATGGGCTGCCAGAGATGGAAGAGATATTATCTAAGTATAATCTGACTTTTATATCCTTAAATAAAAGTTTCAGACAGATAATATACAACTTTCTACTCCTGTCCTGTAGCCAGGGTCATAGAACAGAGTTCTGTTCCAGAACATGTGCTTTGATTTCAGAGAGACATCCCTCTCTTCCTATTTTAACTCAAATCTAAGAAACAACTAGCAATTATATTTTTTAATATAGGAAAAAACCCTTTTAAACCCACAAAAGCTTATGGGACTAAATAAGAGCAAATGTGTATGGGGGACAGAGAGAGGGTTTATGCCTCTGGAAGTGACTATTCTCAGAAGAGGAAATGCCCTAATCTCTGTATTTGACTCGCCAAACTGAACAGAATCAACTTACTCAGCATTTACACACACTACTAGCATTTTTAGGTGTAATTCAAAATCGAAGTACCTGCACTAGAAATTTTATCCTGTGCAGTTTAATTTTAATAAGGCAACAAATTATTAGCATCACTAGGAAAGGCTTTAATTAGCCCAAGTCCAAAACACTCCAAAGGCTTAATAGTGAAAGTAGATCAACAACACTGCTTACAATCCTTCCTCTGGTGTTAAAAAGCTTGCCAGGGATCCAATTTACTACAGAATCACATGTCTGGAAGAAAACACAACTTCATTTTCTGTCTGCTTCAAACATAGTGTTAGGAAAGTCATCTAGTAAGGAAGATGACATTAGAGAGGAAAAGGGTTGTATTCTAGTTTGTGAAGAAAACTGGAATCTCCAAAGCAGATTGGTTTTAGTTTAAAAGCAACACCAGAGGAAGTCTGGTTCCTTTGCACCAGAACTCTTGGAGCTCTTGCCAGCTTCAAATGGAGACACAATTCTGACTTTAGTGTAAGAGCTCAGAGCTGGCTCCTGTCCGGAAGTTCTGAAATCATCCAAAACAACCCAGTATGAGTAAGTAACAGCCATTTCTACATGTTTTTCTCCAGCATCCAGGCAGATCTAAACATTTTGGTCACACCACCGTGAGCATTCAGGATTTGTAACTGGAAAAGTGGTTTTATACAGTAAAAAAAAAAAAAAAAAAAAAAATTGAGTTGACCTAAGTATGTGGGTGTTTAGTTAGTCAATTTTTGGAAAGGAATTTAGTTGGTACTCAGTCATCCTGAATTTATTCCTGTACAGGACAGAACAAGGCTGAGATTTGAAAAAGAGATGATGAAAAAGAGATTACTCCAAGGGTAAGAAATACCACATAGCAAGGAAGATGGAGCAGGATAAACGAACGGGTGCACACTGCCAGGCTCTCTAAAAGTTTTGATTTTCCACATTTATACCTAACACACACAAGAATGAGAGAACATTTCCACAGCTGAGAAGACTGTGATGAAATATCAGTAACAGTTAGAAGGATCTGGTGGCTAATTACAGCTTAGTTGGGATTAGAAAGATTGAAGGAAAAGAAACTGAAGGAAATGATTCAGTTTTTATATCATGTCGGTGCTTTTATAAAAACAAACTCCAGCAATATTAATGCAAGTTACTCATAGGAAAAAAAGTTCATGAGGTCTCATTTTTCTTTCCTTCTCACAGGCAGATTTCTACATGTTTTTCTCTTGCACATTTTGGTACATCACAAAGGGCAGTGAAAATCCAGAGAAAGCCTAACCAAACCTAACCAATTTTGAGAAGTACTTCTGTGTTCTGGCAATGCTCAACTTTGAGCTTCTACTCAGCTGTTCAAAGCTGAGAGTTGGAGAGCTCTCACTATGCCTGTACAGTGTAAATACTGGTACCTATATCGAAACAAACAAGGAGAGGGGAAATCAGTTGTAGTGGATCCTGATACAAGTTTAAATATATACATTCTACTTGAAATAGCAAAATCACAAGTCACCTTAGGAAACTGTGTTTCTCTTAAACTGCTACTTAAAAAATACTGCTGCTTAATACAATATTTTACTCAGCTAATAGCAAAGCTAATAGTTCAAGAAAAATATACAAGAAGATATTACTGTTGTCTTTTATGTTCATTGCTTCTGCTTACTACTTATGAACATATATGTGCTTAAAGTCAATCAGAAAAAAAAAATCCATTTATAAATGTCAAAAATCTATTTCTGCAACAAGTACTGTAGTGCAAGCCAGCCCAGCTACACTGACCCAGTAGTTCTCAATTACCTAAGAGCTGGGTGTGAAACTCTCTCCTAATTGTAACATGAGTGCAAGAAAATATTTGGTGAAAGGGTAAGAGCTGTTTGCATGGCCCAAAGGCAGAAAACATTAAAGGCCAAGGCAAGATTTCACAACTGAAAACTGTCCATTGAGAATGCACTGGGAAAGTACTTCCTTCCTCTGACCCACCTTGCTCCTTCCCTCTGTCCCACCTTGCTCCTTCCCTCCAGCTCTACCAGAAGCTGCCCTGGGAGTACCCGAGGCTGTCACTGCAGCACTGTCTCTCCTGCAGGCTGTACCCAGCCTGCTCACAGCCTGGGCTGCACAGGCTGTCCAGTCACAGAACCATAGAACGTTAAGGGCTTGGAATGGACCTCAAAGCTCATTTTGTTCTATGCCTCTGCCCTGGGCAGGGACACCTTCCACCAGAACAGGCTGCTTAGGGCCCATCCAGTCTAGCCTTGAATAATTCCAAGGATGGGGCATCCAAAGCCTGCTCCAGTGCCTCACCACCTCACTATAAAGAATTTATTCCTATTAGCTAACCTAAATTATTACCTAACCTAAATTTTCCCTCTTTCAGTTTGCACCCATTCCCCCTTATGCTGTCACTACAGTTCCTCACAATGAGTCCCTCTCTGGCTTCCCTGAAGGCCCCTTCAGGTTCTGGGAGGGGCTGTGAGGTCTCTGCACAATCTTCTCTTCTCCCAGATGAACAGCAGCTCTCTTGGCCCATCTCCATAGGGGAGGTGCTCCATAGCAACTCCATGGCCTCCTCTGGACTTGCCCCATATCCTTCTGATGCTGGATACCCCAGAACTGTGTGCCATAGGCCAGGCTGGGTCTCACAAGGGCAGGGCAGAAAATCACCAGTCAATCTGAGTTACACACAGCACTGTGAACGCACTCACTGTGACTGATGATAAACACAGCTGTTTCAGTATCATTTTTTGTAGCAAGGGAAGTGAGGGACATCTTTCTGTTCCACTGGCATTTTAGTTAATGACTAGGCTAAAATCTGGTAGCTTGGACAGTGGGTATTCCAGAAAAAGATGGAAAAGGAGAAAATGTACAACAGAAAAATACTGTTATTACCAGCATCTATAAAATATACTTAGACTAAAGGGGAAAAAATACAAAGAAAATACATATTCTATAGTAATAACGAAGTATTTCAGTCTGATGCCTCAACATATACGTATGACAAATGTTACTCTGCTGTTCCAACAGCAGAGATAAATGTACTGTTTCCACCCAACTTTTTTAAACAAGGACACAAAAAGACCAGCAGTACAAGCAAGGACAAATTTCAGAGGACGTGGCCACAGAAGACTTCAGCAAAAGCTCTGTAAACAGCCAAGGAAGAACTGATAATCTCCCCTCCCACGCACAGTAAATATACTATGGACAGACTGGCTAGGTCTGTGTTTAGCTTGTGTTTCCACAAGCATTTTGCAGTGGAAAGGTTGTGACTTACATGACTCTGATGATCCAGCTAGTGAAATTTATCATCATCTTTTACTTTCCAATTCTTTCTCAGTAACAAACTACTTCACAAAAAGAGAGTGTAGAACAAATCAATTTGAGACTTACAGATGTAAAGTCCTATTTGCCATATCTTCCCCTGCGTTTTCAGGGCACAATGAAAGTAAATAACTGATGTACAGTTGGTGCCTATATAACTTATGTCAGAGTTACAAGGTGCTTATATAGCTTGACTTGTAAAATATCAATATAACCCGATATATTTATATAACCTGTAATCAGTATAAGCTAAAAAATGACTTTTATATATCTGTATAAACTGAATCATAACTTTTATACCTATATAACCTGATATAATGTATATAACCTGAAAAAATATCTATACAATGTAATGGCTAACTAGTATACACTATACTATAACTTGTATATGGTTAATTAGTTGCTTAATGCTGAATAGACAAAAAAGAAGAAAAAACTCACCAGGTGGGTAGCTTTAGAGATAGGTAAGTATAGTACTAATGAGAAACTGGCAAATATAAAGCCAATTAGCCACCAAATAAAGAATTTAGACCAATTAAGACCAAACAGACCAAGGAACAGCTTAACTGTGCATGCTCCTAAGACAAAGTTGAAAAGTTCAGATGCAAAGGACTTTGGAAGCCTTTACCAAATGCCAAAGACCCCCCATGACCCCCAAATTGGGGAGGCACAAGCACAGTGCAAAAGAACTGTATAATAACCATGAGGTCACACTATGTAAATTACTTCTGGTGAGTATGTGATGGTGTTGTAGTGACACTGAGCAACACTTACTGTATAAGCACATCACAGCATTGACAAAGGTGGGTGAATGAGGAGGAGAAATCCCCCTCACTCCAGCACTGCAGTAAGCAAACACCTGCTCTATAGACACTGCTATGGGGTTTTATTTCCAGCCCATCTTTTGGGCATCACATTGTTTTAAAGTTTGCAAAGCCAGATGTAATATTCCTGTTTCGGCTTATTACTGGATACTGCAGATAAAAGTTACATTGATATTTTCTAACTCATTTTTTGCTTCCAAATGCTAGGTGTTTCCCTGGCCTGGTGATGTTCTTCTTTATCTATTTTCAGATATTGTTAGCACTACAAACATAAGCATTGAAAAATGTTTTGTTTAAGAATTCTTAAACTCACTATTCAAGGGTGCTCATCTCCCCCTCTTATGCTTCTGATGATCATTTCCTTTGACGATGTAAGGAAATTAGGATGCCAGGTGTTTTTTGTTTTGCAAATAGAGATGAAGAAAATAATCTCCCTGGGTGTTTTTCAGAATTTGATTCACAGAAAATGTATTTACGCTTGTCCCAGTTCTAAGTATAACTCTCTATTCCTTCTGGGAGCCTCTTCAGCTTTCATTTTGGCAAGAAATGCTGCCATCGAGTTTACATTTACCCTCCTCACTTTTCAGAAGCTCCATCCTCTCTCAGCATTCACATTAGGGTGTTTTCTTCTCAGACATGGGTCATAATTTAGGTAGTGAAATTAATTACATACACAAAGGAAGAGGGAAGAGTAAATGTTCCTCCTTGTGTACTGCACCAGTAGTCTGGTGCAAAAAAAGTGTACTGTAGGCTGGGTGAGATTTTTCTAATATTTGTAGGAGTTTTCCAAAATTCTGTAGGGACAGTCAACAAGAAGAGCACTAGAGCTAGAAAACACACCTTCCTTTTTCCCTAAGGAGCTCACATTCAAATGCAAATTTCTCCCTTTTTTTGACTAAGAAAAAAAACCCCACCATATTAGGCTTTCTTATTTTCCATTTGAAGAAATTCTCTCATTGCAGACATTCTGATGTACAGATGACTGGGTGTGCACTTCAAAAAATACAAATTTAAGAAAGCTGCCCCTATCCATGGTCATTTGAGATGGTAGCCCCTGAGATTCCATACATGAGTCATCTCTATTTTTAATTTTCATTGTGTAACAGAAATGCTTTGAGGGTCAATAAACAGGAGCTTTGGGAGCAAGCATAGTTTAATATTTTGAACAGTTTCACAATATCTTCCAGTGAAAAAGTGATGATGTTTTTTGTATGTTTAAGGAATTGAATTTTATTGTAGTCATAAAGCAAAACTTTAGCAGAGTCTACTGCTTGGTTCATGTTGAACCTACCCCATTTACCTTCTAGCTAAACATACCTAGATTCATTTCTAAGTATTCATCATCTCTGGATCCATACATGTAATTCTCAAGTTGTAACTTATCTAAGACAGGACTACATACTGCAACTTTTTGCTGAACTGATGTAAAACATTTTGTGAATGAAGTTGCTTTCTGTTATTTTCATGTACTTTATGGTAGGCCAAGATACCTTTAGGGTACATTTCTGTTAATAACATTATTTGGCATTTTCTGCCAAGAAAGGCAATTTTACTGCCTTACTGTTTCATAATAGTTCTTTGATTTTTATCTGCATTTCAAAGAGGAAGTGAGGTGACCAAACAAATCCCATTACATTTTCCCATACAAGGCAAAGTGCATATTCAAGTCTTTAGATTGAACAGCTCTAAACAATATTTTGTTCAAAAGTACTCTGAACATAATCATTCGCACTAAGAACACAGCAAAAACTAGCACAATTCTCCAAGATGTCTTAAAAAAAATATGCAGGGAAAAAATACCTCTGAAACAGTTTTAAAATTCAAAATTTTGAACTTGACCAGCACCAATAAATGTGCATTGCACTTCTTATTTACAGACAAGAAAGTGTTTAAGGTGTACAGTTGCAAAGGCAGAAGCATTTGATGTATATCATCAAAGTACCACTTGCAAAGCAGCAGAGGGGTAGAGGATCACTGGCTCCAGCCTGAGCTGGAGCTGGCTCTATCCAAGGAGCTGTGTAACCACATTACCATGGTCATACCACATGTCATGGTCATACATGTCCTACCCCACAGCAAAACATACTAGCACAGGACAGCTGCCTGCCAGCTCAGCCACAGAGCTTCCTGAAAGATTATTTGTTCAGTCCAAAAGACAAAAAAGTGTGTGTGACTGTTTGCAGCAAAGCACACAGCTTTGATGCCATGGCTTTTATTATTTATTTAGCTAACTGGATAATTTTGAATTTGAATAAAGCAGCAGCCACAGCAGCAACTGCAGAAGAAAAAACTGTGCAACACTAGACTAAACAGACAGTAAAGTGGTCTCAGACAAATTCTGAAGGAAGTTTCAAGAGGAACTTGACCATTCTTTCAACTTATTTTTAGGAACTCTTTGTTCTGAAAAGGGACTGAAAAATTCTAAGCATGATACAGTGTATCACAGCAACAATTTATGGTCAATAATAAAAAACAATTAGTAATTTAGTTTATTAACACATGCAATGATACTCCAAAAGCTAACATTGGCAGAAAAAGTTTCTAATTTGACTTAAAAATACACAGTCCCCATTTCAAGTCTATCAGATTGATCCTTACAGGGTCTGGAAGACAAAGTTGCCTGTTGAAGTTTTGAGTAAAGGTTATTTGAGTGCCACTCTAGTTATTGTCAATCTTGCTGCTCACTAGAAAACACAAAAAACAAGTCACTTTACCTTGAACACAACTGCAATTCAAATGTTTCTGGGTAAGAAGGTTGATAAACTCACAAAAAAATCTAGGGAAGAAAAACATAAAATAGTGAAAATTCTAGGCCCTCTTAAGTTACAAGCATATCTGATTTTTAAACCACTCAACCCAAACCTTTACTGGCTTGGTAATTAGAGCTTTTTCAGGTGTTGGTTGTCAATACCATTTGTACAACTGGAAAACACTACCTGATCCTTGAAAACATGCAACAGGATGTAGGTCAGGGCATAAAACTAGAAACTCATTACATTATAAGTTTCAATTTTCACCTCAGTTTTATGTTCTGAGCACCTTCAGGAGTCTGAATGACGTAGCATGCTGCCAAAAGCATGCCAGACAAAAAGTTTTCACGTGTACTCACGATGGTTAAATCTAGCATCTGACTGCTTTTAACAGCCTCAACAGTAAAGCTTCAGCAACCCAATAATCAAAGCTTACCTTTCTGAAAGATAAATCTACTTAATGCAATGCAAGTTACAAATGCAAATCTCATTTCAAGTAATTAGGAAAACTAAAAGCTAAGAGGTAATATGTAACAAATTTCTCAAACTATTTGTTCTGTCTGAGAAACACCAATGAATTAACTTAGAGACAGACAACAGAAAGCCTTGCCACCATTGCCTTTCAGGGAATAACACATCCTCCCTTTACCTTTTCATCCAACATCTGGACACAGACCATGACTCAGAAAGGTGTGGTAATATGATCAGGACAGAGTCTTACACAGAGCAGTCAGAAATAAGTGATCATCACTCATCAAACCTTTGAGCATGCAAATAGCCTGAACTCATTCAGGGCTAGAATGAGGGGTTTTCCTCCATTTATGTCAGACCGAAACTGCCAGGTGTTTATCATCTCTCCCCCTAGTCAGTTCATGGAGCCATACAACATTCTGCATAGATACTGTTATTGAAAGACATGCAAGAAAAACAGGCCTGAAAGAGCAGCCAGATGGAGAACTGGTAACCCCAGAACAGCAAAATGTAGCACACTCAAACAAGGAAGATGCTCTGCATAGTTTTCTAAGGCATAACCTTGCTCTGATCCCTAGTCCAGCCCCCACAGTCTCACCCTGCTTTTCACTTCAGCACAGCAAGCTTAGTTTCACTTTCTAGTTGTTCCTCTTGCCTGTGGCAATACATTTCATAAAGAAAGCATTTTTGACTAAGTTGCTCACACAGAGGAGCTCATAAAAATACAGAAGTAGTTGCATGGTTATAAAATAAACAGATAATCCATTTTCATAATGAAAATTAAACACATCTATCAAACAAAGGTACAAAACCAAGGCTATCAAGTTCAGTATTAACTTACCTGTGTAAATACACAGTATGAATCAGCAGTACATACAATTGCCTTCATGGAAAGTAATGTGCAGAATGACAAACTAATGAGCTACCATGAGCAGACAGAAACTACTATATCCTTCCTACTTCTACATATGATGCAAAAAGACCACAGACACCACAAACCAAAATCTCTTTCTTATTTTTAATTTTTTTAAAATAAATTTGTATCACTTTTATCTTAGTTGACATTACCACTGACAGCTTATTTTTCTACATAACATTCAAAGCTATAGAAAATACTGTTGTAAAACTACACTTTACCTATACAGTACTGCAATTTTTTTAGTATGTGTATTTTCATTGTGTAAAAAAACCAAAACAAAAAGTGCCATACTAGGACTAGAGAAGAAGTTAGAGAGGTTAGTACTTAAAACAGTTTTTAGGACACAACACAGCATCAGCAAATTACTTTGCTGAATTGACAAAAACATGACCTCAGTGTAAGGGAGACTCCAAATGAGAAGTGAACAGCACAAGAAGGGGGCTGGTTCCCTGAGTGTTCTAGTTTAGGCTCATGGCAGGTAACTGGATGCAGTTCTGGACTGAGGTGGTCCCACCTGGGCTGTTCCCCTGGGCTGCAGAGTTTGCAGGCACTGGCTCACACAACCTGCAGCTGGCATGGGCTGTCTGACACCACTCACGACTCGGTGCCAAAAAGTGCCACTGCCAGAGAGGAAGTCATCACCTTGGTTTGGTTCTGCTGAAACACAGTTCTGTGCTTTGCAAGAACTTGAAATAAGCCTGAAAACAGAGCTACTGTTGAATGAAGTAGCCTCTACCTGTTTGTAGCTGCCCCAGTCCGTCCCCTCCTTTTGCCAGGAGCCAGAGTAAGACTGCTGGCTACAGCCTTTGCAAACTTAGTGCAGCCATGGAAGTGTACTAGGGGGAAAAAAGGTAACCAGAAGCTCTGCCATAATATATAATCCACTTTTATCATTATTGAAAGCCAAAAAATCCCCAACCACCCATACCTAGCCACTTAAATTTTATTGCAGATTAATTTTATACACTCCAAAATACTTTAACAGGCATAATTTTTTATTTGTGGAAGGTCAGGAGTTAGTTATTTTCCTAATCCAAAGTGACTGTGTGGTAGCTGGCTGCCAAACTGTCAGCTTAAACTATGAACCAATGCCCTCATTCATAAATTTTTGGGATTTTGCTGTGAGCCATTCAGCATGTTGTGATACACTGTGTCCAGCTCTTCAGACTGAACTGCCGTATTTGAAATAGTGAAATTTCATAGGCTGCTCAACTCCTCTAGCTACCAAGACAAATGAGAGAATGACTCACTGTGTATTCTACTTATCATGTGCTTTAGATAAACTGAATTTAATATGATCTTTTCCAGAACTATTGCATGTATGACTCTGGGGAGGAAACAACAAAGTACCCAATGGATCACTTAAATAAGGTGAAGTGTTTCAGTAAATCCAACCAGTTACATCAATTTGCCTTTTTTTCTTTCAGACAGACACTTGCACCCTCTTACCAGCAAAGACAACACAGACTCCTTGTGTCCTTACCAGCTTCCTTCAGCCCTACCCACTCAACAAGACACTGGTGTTAGTGCACATTTAAATATGCAAAGACTCCTGTTGTATTCTGCCGTGCTACCTGTCATAAATGTGTGCAATAAAATGGTGAATTACAACACAGGGTGAAATTAGAGCAAACACTTTGTAATACCTGCCTAACTTGACAGTAGTGAGTGCTCTTTGTAAATAATTATTCCTGTCAGTTCCTCGCATACAGTGCAATACAATCTACTGTTTCTCCAAATACATCCTCCTTAGTGTAGTTTTTTGTTCAGGTTGTGCTCCTAATAAATAAATTCCTGTTTTGTAAATTATAACATCTCCAATGAAGACTTGTTGCCAGATAAGCAATCACTATATGAACACAAAAATGTATTTGTTTTGAGAAAGTTCTTATTTTAGCAAACACTGGTATAGGAAGCTTGCTATGGAGCTGAGTAAGCTCAATGTAGAATGGGCAACTCACCTGCTCAGTCTCCAAAAGTACAGCACACTTTCAGCTTTGTCTTTAAGACTAGCAGGAGATTCACCCTTTCTCAGGCTAATCAGTACATGTTTGTAGTAAGGCAAGTTAGAACAGAACACCACCTCAGTGTTATTAAAATGGTAATTTAAACATCTCTTAATTAGTACAAGCTGTAAGAGAACAAGTACTGGGATGTACTGTGCTATTTTAAGTCTGTCCTTGCAATGTCAACTTGTTTCTAATTTCACAGTCTTTCAAGCATACCTAGATTATTTTTTAAATTGATACACATATTAATAGTCTAACTGCCATTATATACCTATGCTATAAAACATCACGGCTTGGAAAAAAGGGTATTTTTCCTGCACACTAAGAAAAGTGTTGAGCAAAAATCATGCAATGAGCTGGCAGCATCATTACAGCTTCAAGTAAAACAGATATGTATACAGGTCTTCTGCTCTGAGTTTTGAATTTGAAAGCTGTCATTGCCAGACTAATGAGTTTATAATAAGAACTTTAAAAGAAATATAAACATGTTAACCTGAAAGGAAAGTTACAAGTATGCTTTTAAAAAAAGATGCTCTACTGATGAAGCAGTAATGTACTATAGGGAATCAATAGTCGCATCAATATACATTGAAGGAAATCTTAGTACAGTAGTTTTTGTCCTTGTGGAACAACAGTGGTATTCAAGTGTAACAGATTTAAGAGTCTCGGATTTAAAGTGATAACTAAGGATCCACCTTGGATCACTTTAAATCCGAGACTTAATTCTGTGATAATTGGTAGATCACTTTATCTCTACCTTGGAGATAAAGATATCTCACCTTGAAGCCTGATGAGCTCCCAGACGTACAACAGCCCTTAACGTAGTACTAACTGTACTACAAAACTCATGCAAAAATGTATTAAAAAAAAAAAAATTTATCAATATCTAGAATTCCTTAAAACCACTTTACTGAGGTGAAAAGTACCCTTTGATTTCAGGGGCAAGTCCCAAGTGCTTAGTTCTATGTGAAGCAAAAGAAAAACAATTCCTCACATCCTTCACATTACACAGCTGTTACTCCAAATGTAAAGCAAATAAACTGCACACTGACTTTCTGAAGCAGCAGCATTTGCTCCGACCTCACATCCATCCTAAGCAACTCAGGCACTCAAACTTTAAAATTCATCCATTATACAAACTGATAATCTGGCAACATGTTGGCTGAAGAAAAACACTTCCCACTCTGCCCAGTCCCATGCCCAGTCATCTTTGCTTGCTTGTTCTGCTCTTCCATTTCCCAACACTGCCTGTGCTATTTATTCCCTTACTAAAAATTTGTTCAATGTGCCTTTGAGTTTTCTGCTATATTTGGGATCATCCTAAATACCTCTCCAGACAATTGTACCATCAGGCCTCACATGCACACACTCCTTGGAACAAAGCTCTGTAGGCTCAAGACCTCATCCAACCTGGCTTTGGACATTGCCAGGCTTGGGGCATCCACAGCCCTCCTGGGCAACCTGTGCCAGCTCTCACCATCCTCACTGTAAAAGAGAAGCTGATGCCAGCCCCAGGTCAGTCCTGACCCAGAAGCTACTTTGGGCTGTGGCAGCACAGGCCAGCAGCAGCACAGTAACCTGCAGAGGAGACAGGCTCCCTATCTAGGGCAATAATAAGAGCGTGAGGAATTTCCACCCCCACCACTCATTCCTAACCCCTGTCTCACACACTTGGTCAGGTAAATAATGTTATGAACAGCTGGCACACAATCGAGGCTGTATCTTGATTATGAGCGCACTTCATATGCAGTGCTAGGTGGGAACTGATAGCCCTGATAAGAAGTGGGGCAGGCAAAGCAGAGCTGCTGTAGTTTATTTACCTTCTACCCAACCATTTTTGTTGATCCCAATGCAGATCACACTAGATGCTTTCTGCAGAGAAGGAAACTGAAACCACAGCCCCTAAGCAATGCTGGCCACTGGCCAAATCTTTTTCCAAACAGTGTCTTTTAGCTCATGTCCGTATAAAACAAGCAAATCCAACTCACTGTTCCAGCACATCCAGGACTAAGGCAAGGTCTTCCCCATGCACCACTCAGACCACAGAGCAGTCTGAGAAAAGGCCTTGGTGCTGTCAGGCTCCACGGGCACCACAGGTGTAGGAGAAATCTGTCCCACCACCTGAGTGTGTGCCTTACCTTCAGTGCAGCACAGGTTACCCTGAGAGAGTGGCCACAGGAGGAATAACCAGTTCAACATTTTGAAGAAACAGACAGCTTCTAGGAGTGTCAGCAGATTATAAACAATCCTAATTTTCCTCCCTCACACTCAACCAAAAAAACAGTAATAATCCCTATCCACTGTAAAGATAGTTCTACCAGCAGAAGAAATTTTCTTAAGCCCTCCCTTCCATACAGCTAGTCTATTCCAAATAGAAATGTGAAGGGCAGTAATCCCAGTTACAGGGAGGAGAGAAGGAGACTTTGGAAAAAAGACGAACACCAAAGCAGTCACTCTGCAGCTGCCCCAGAAGGCAGTAAAATTAAACAGTGTGGACAGCTTTTGAGATAGGCCCTCCACAAAAAAGGCTGAAGATGTTGCACCATCTAAATAACAATCCAATATACGAACAAACAGAAAGAAACCATAAATTCTGTTTCTCAGGAAATTGCTTTCCTCCTTCCATTCAACTTCCTTCTCTCCTGAGAAAACAAATATCCTCAAGCACAGTGACCACATGCTTATTTGAGTATACTACAAAACTTCCCTTAATGATTAACTCAAACTCTTTTTTAGTTTAAGCAAAGCCCTACTCAGAAGGGTTTACTTATGAAAGAACACTCATTCATTTGTCATGTTAACTACCTAACTCTATTTATCATTAACTTCAATATATTTTGCATGTTTACTTGGCTTAGGCTACTGTTTGGTATTTAATTTGAGTACTAGCTTCATTTACCACAGTGTAATAGGCTGCACCTATTTTACTAGATATAGATCACAACATCACCTGGCACGTATCTGTAGACAAAGCCTTGCCTTAGTAGTTTGTTTGCAAGTGGTTTCTCTATTTTTATAAAAGGGCTGAAGCATCACATTTGCATTAGGAGAAGGTGTCATCTGCTGAACTCTGCTAATTTATTATGCTGAAAATTTATAGCTGCTGCTGTTGGATTATTCAATAAGCAGCCAACAGGCAGCACCATCACTGGCAGTGCATGTTCCAGAGGGCATTAAAGATAACACATGAGCTAACTGTGCATGAGATGCAAACACCTAAATAATGAACACCTCCTGAAACCCCCCACCACACCAGAGTCCAGGGGGAAATTACCTGTTTCAAGTTTATACAATTCTGTAATTTAAGACAACAGTGAAGGAGGAACTGGTAAATACAAAGAACTGAGAGCTATGTTAAATATGCATTAAATAATTTCCAAAATTAATTTTATGAGGAAATATTTAAGGCTTCTGTAGAATTGTATTAAAATACAAACTTTGTATGCATGCAGAAAGAGCAGAAGAAATAAAAATGAAACCTGTCATCCTGTCAGAGACTGCAGAACTTTGCTACCTGTCTTTTAATTGGGTGAAAAGAGTGGAGACATGAAAATCTTAAACATTTCTTAGGGAAAAAGAAAATCCATGTCCTTAGTCACTGAAATTAGTCTGAGATGACAAATTCCAAAGATTCAAAAAGCAAAACTTATAGAAAAAACATTGTATGTTTCTAAAGTCTATCTGCAGCTTTATTTGCTCTTTTTTGCACTTGAAGTTGGCAAGGTTACAACTGCAAGTTTGTCTATAATAGTAATGACAACACACATCATATTCTTATTTTTCTGCAACAATCTAAGATGCAAAGAGGACCAACAGAGGATGCAAGCAAGGACCAACATTATCCTTAACCTGACAATCATCTTTTACCATCATCAGGGATTTCAACTGTCCATTTATTTTCTATATAACACTCCCCGACACCAAATTTCTCTGTAATCTCCATCCATATTTATTGAACATCCTCACTCAAATGTTTTGCACTATCACTCCTTTTTTTCCTAACATAAATGTTTCAGATTTAATTTTTTTTCTCAAATATTATATGCTATAAAGGTATATGCTACTATTATTTCATTAAGGGACTGGGCAAACAGCAGCACTGGATCAGGAGAGGTCTGTGCAGCCAGGGCAGGGGAGCCAGTACTGCACATACAATTGCTTTTCAAATAAGTTTCAAAAATCCACAAAGGGGATACTCTAGAACACCAAAAAGAAAAATCTATCGCAGAGGAACACGACTACGAAAATATTCAGCCAGATTCTTGCTTTCCTTTAGCAGGTGCTTCTGTGAGGCGGAGCAGAGAAGCATGCGCTGAGCAGCGCATCACCTCTCCTCATCAGCATCAGCCCATCCCCGAGCCCAGCCTCCTCGCCTGCATCCCGGCGGAGGGCGGGGGGCTCCAAGGGCCGGGGCGCTCCGGGGGAGGCCAGAGCACCGTCGAGCACCGGGCAGGGCCCCGGGGAGCCGCGGGGATGAGCTCCCGCCGGCGCGGAGCGGGGCAGGGGCGGGCGGGGGTCCGGCTGCTGGCGGGAGCGGCCGCGCTCGGCGCCGCGGGCTGCGGCAGGACGGGGACGGCGAGATGCGCCAGCGCTGCTGCCCCGGGGCGCGGGGAGCGGAGAGCTTCCCGCCCGAGCCCCCTCGGCGCTCCCACGAGGCCTTTCCGCGCCGGGCAGCGGCCGAGGCGGCTCCTGCCCGCCCGTACCGGAGCGCCCAGGCATCCTCCCGGCCCGGACCCGACCCCGCGGAACCCCGCTCCTTCCCCGGCTGACCCTGCCCCGACGGGAGCCCCGCGGCCCCTGTTCCAGCGCGGAACGACCCTCCCGCCCCTCGCCCTCCCCAGATGCTGCCGAGCGGCAGCAAGGTGAGGGAACCAGCCGTGCCCATCCCGCCTCTCCGCACTCCATCCCGTCCCATCCCTTCCCCGCCCAGAGCCCGCACTCACCGCGCCCGGCCCCGGCGCTGCCGGCGATCGCAGCGCTACCGGCGGCGGTGCCGGCTGCTAAAATGGCTGAGGGCGCGGGGGAGGAGCGAGCCCCGCGCCGCCGCCGGGGCCGCCCGCTGCTCCCTCCCTCCCGCGGCCGCCGTGACGCGCCGGGGAACGGGCGGAGGCGGCCGCGGACCCGAGCCCCGGGCCCCGCTCGGTGCCGCCGGGACTCGCAGGCTCGTGAGGGCGTGACACGGGACCCGGGGCTGAGCTCGGTCAGCGCGGCCCTTGGCGGGGCTGGTCCGGCCCGCTGAGGCTCAGCAGCAGGCCGCGGGCAGGCCGGGCTGCGCCGCGAACGCCGCCCGGGACCCCGGCCCGACCCCGGGCTCACCTCCCGGGCAGGCTCCGGCGGGGCGCAGCGAGGCCGCCAGCCGGGTCCTTCAGGCTGGAGGAGACAGCGCAGATGTTTGCAACCCCGTTTCGGCGCCTGGCATCTGGAGACCACCAGGCCCGGTCGGAGGCCCCTTTCGTTTTTATTCAGAACACAAGGAACGGGTTTCAGCAGCACTGCTGACGAGAGCGACTGGGATTACTCACAGTTCAGTTCAAAAAGCCAGAGGCTACAAATATCCCCATGATTCATGCAAGAATTTGCCAGATGGCTTTAGCTGTTTTGGAGTGTGAGGCTTCTTCTGAAGAGAACTGGCACAAAATAACTTGCTTCTGACAATGCCACTTCTTAATAGCATGTAAGGGAAGAGGAAACGTTTGGTGCTCCATCTATGTGGAACAGAAGTCCAGTAGGAACCTCCCCCGCCCCATATGGAGTGGGATAGAGTGTGAAAAAATAAAATTGGCATACATTACATAGCCACCGCTATATTTGGTAACAGGTTTGCTTCCATAAAGGACAACACCTTGCAGGAGGCTAAAATGTTCAGGCAACAATTGCACATGCAATGTGGATGTTATATTTAATAATTCCCAGAGAAGCAAAAAGCACATCACTTCCTTGGATAGAGGCTGAGCTGAATCACTGTGTGGGTTTTGCTCTGTTTGGACTATATGACACTTGTGGCAGTCTGTTATACTCTCACTTTGTTCTCATTTGTTTCAAACCCCATTGTTTTTCTTAATGTCACATCATCTAATAAGGGAACCTGAATTGCACAAGATGCCCAAAGGCATATCTGTTTCATGCGGATTACTTTTTTGATGTAACCTCCCTAAATACTTAGAAAAGGTTGGGCAAACCAACTTGCCACATTTTTTTTTCCCACTAGAACACTGACACAGCTTCTTTTCTAAATCTTTGCCATGTATAGTAAATAGGCAAGAAATTCTACTTGCAATTTATTACAGCTACTTTGTACTTCTTATAGTATTAGATTTTGAATTAAGTGCGTACAGATTTACCTTGATGTATCCTGCTGGTGGGTAAGGAAGCACGTCTTGTACCTAAGCCAGCTAAAGCACTGGAATGACCACAGTGGACCAGAGGAATGCCTGAGGTAGAATACGATGCTGTTCTCAGCAGTGGCTGACCATCTCCTGGGAAGATGAGGACTTCTGCAACTTTGAGACCTTTAGCTAGAAGTATCCTGTATTGGCTCTTGATAGAAAAGGGAAAAGAAATTCAATTGCTTTCTTAGTCCTCTAAGCTTCCAGCATCTACAGCTTGATCAGCTTCCAGCAACTACAGCTTGTGTCATTCCACAGTCTAACTTCATGCTAGGTAGAAATCACCTCTGTATGTTTCATGCCTTCTGTCTGGTATTTCCACATGATGTCCCCTGACGTTTGCATTAGTTAAGTATTCTCTCTTACCTCTCTCCCCTCTCTCCATGATGCTCCTTGTTTTATTACAGATTTGTAACACACATTCCTTGCACTACTACCTTACTTACCTCTCTTCTAGGCTGACAAGTCTCACACTTTCCAGGTGCAGTTTCATAGTACCTCCAGGAAGTTGGAGCTTCCATCTCTCTACTGCAGACTGTACGTCCTTGCTGCCACCTGGATTCCGGGTGCTTCAGGTTGTGCACTTCTGCTGAGTGTAACTCCCCTCCTCTCCCTTTATGCCCTTCCTGCTGGAGATCTCACCAAGCCATGGGACCACCTCATCAACCTCTTCTTGGCCCTGTGTGCCACAGCAAGAAGCTCTGTGGGGAACCCCAGTGTCTGCAAGGTTTGTCCACTCGTGTCCCCAGACCAGGCACCACTGACTGACATCCAGGCCTCAGTGGTGTTCTTGGGGATGCTCAACAAAATACTTTGTCTGTTTCAGAAGGATAAACATCTAGGTCAAACTAATAATTTCAGCAAAGTTGGAAACAAATTTTGGTTAATTACAATTAAGGAAAAAATATAACCTATTAGGTTATCATTAGAATAATGAGTCCTAAAGTTACACTTATTACAGACTTATTACAGGGTGAAGAGTCAAATACGCCTTGTTCTGTGGAGGCTTTAGAAAGAGCACCATGGGAAACCTTTCCTGCAGCTGCAGGTATGCAAATACCTGCCTGATTTTCATAGGATTTACTGATATAGAATATGCTCTTTTGTTTGTCATAAGATACATTTTCATTTAAACCAGTTCTTTGAAAGATGCCAAACATTCTGTTTCGAAAGCAAAGCAGAAATGGATTTACTTGCACTTTATAAATAAAGCTGTGGTCAAGTAGTAATTCCCTGAGGATGTGTGATACTTCTAAAGGCTTTAAAACAGAAAGATAAGACAAGGAAGCCTATGATCAGGAAGCTGACATTCACTACAAGATGTGCAAAATGTCTTTGCAAACTTTTAGAGGAGTCTTTAAACAAAAATGAAAATGATCTTTATACAACAAAATGTCGCAGTATCCTCAAAACCAAATCTGACTGAAAGGTTTTTCCTTGTCTCTCGTGTTGCAACCCTTTCATATTTTTCCAGTAAGAAACACTCACTGAAGATCTCTGTGGGATGTGATGAGTGTAACAGCACTTCCCAGACAGTGAAGTCACTCTGTACTGACGCTGATTTTCAACCTTAACACAGAGGTCAAAAGAAGAGAAAGGGATCTTGAGGAGAGGCTGAAGCCAAGGCCTCTGATTTTCACCCAGAATTCAATGTAAACTTGGAAAGAGTGAAGAGCTTCTCACCTCATTCCTGATATCAGCAAAGGGATTGCATAATCTTAGCACTTCTAAGCAATAAATCAATATCTGGAACCTTGTGGGTTGTTTATTTATATTAGAAGTGACTGAGGAAATAAACTATTTCCTAAATACAATCCTGTTTGTCTTCACAGACTGTACAGTTAGAATCAAAACAACAGAAAACAAAATTTTTACACAAACTTGGCCATTTGGAATAAGCATTCTCCCAGAAAAGTTACCTGAGTTTTGTCTCAGGCTGGTGAAGTTTTAGTGTGCCCCTTTTTGCACACTGGACCTCCACATGAATTCTGCCCATTGAGAATAATGGACTTTTGGTCACTCCAGAACTTTTTAAACTGACCCTGATGTTTTAAAAGAAAACAAAACCAACACGGCAATCAGTCATATACATTTGATGACACAAAGGCTTACTGATATCTCCAAGTAAGTGCACTCCAAGGGGGAATTTCCAGTAGGGGGAACTGAAGGATGGCTGTGAATAAAAGGCAGCATTTTAAGAGAAGGGGCTGCTACCAAACATATGAATTGTTTTGGTTTTTGATGGTTTTTGTTCAAGCTAGTTCCATTCCTCCCTTAGTCTTATATAGGAAACCAGATTTAAAAATTATCTGTGAATCTGTTTTTTATAGGAAAAACACAAACCCCTTTATTGCATCTCCAACTATAGCTGGGCCTTTGGGGGAAGGAGCAGGAGCAATGTAGAGACTGTCTAATAGGTTCTCTGAACAAAAAACCTGCAATCAGTTTTTCCCCCTCATGTACCCAAATATGACTTCTCACTTTGAGACATTGTGCAGAAAAATGAACAGCAGCTTACAAGCACTGAACAAATACTTGCATTACATAATTAAATCATTGGTTAAGCCCTATTCCATGCATGACACAGAAACACGTACCTGCTTGCAGACATAACTTGTATTTTCCAAAACCATCAGCTTCATTACCTGCTCAGATGTGTGCAGAGGTTAGAGCTACTCTGCTTTCCCAAAATAATTCCTGACAGTAGCACTCTGCTTAGGCTTCAAGACACCAGAGCAATGACAGCACACATGTTCTGATTTTCTCTTTTCCCTCATTCTTTCCTCCAAGTGGGCACCTAGTGATTTACTGTCTTGGGTCAAATCAGCACTCACAGGCAGTTCCATTGGTTGGGTCACACACTACATGAAGCCAAAGGAGAATGTTGTTTCAGTGTTCTCTTACTGTCCAGTTTATCACAAAACTGAAAAGGCCTATCTGAAGCACAGCCTTAAAGTATTAGATCACAAATAGGATGTAGTATTGGACCAGGAATACCTGACTGAAGGATATAGATTTAAAGAAAGGAAAGCAGTATTGACAGAGAGATTTCTGATATATACACAATAAATCTAAATTTATTTATTGTGTAAAAAAGAAAGATGTGGAACTCTAAATTTAATGTTGTTGCCAACACTTACATGTCTTATCGGCAGAACAATCGGTAGATCACCACAGAAAACAAAATGCCTAGAAGTAGACTTCAGAGGAAACTTTGAACAGCCATTGCAAAAAAAGATTGAATAGTTAGCACATAATGAAATACGTTCTACACTGCCTAGAGATAGTCACAAGAAAGAAAATTAATTGCTATGGAAATGAAATGCTTTCTTTAATTTTTCCCCAGATCCAGTCTAAAGTGCATGACCTCAGCAAACAGTAGCCACAAAAGGCCAGACATACTACAGAGCCTATGAGATACATTATGGTTAAAAATATGGTTTAAAATGGTCTTCTTTCAGCATTTCTGTATTCTCACCAGGATCTCTTGAGTCTTATAGTTCCCTTTAAAGGAATCATAACATTTTAAATATGGTGCCCTAATTTTTGGGGAATTCATTAGAGAAAACACTAGACTTCAGTGAGGACCTTGACCTCAATAGTTTTTCTGTTTACATATGTGATGGCAGAAGTTTTTGACAGGAACAGCAAGGCCAGCTCCTAAT